AAAAATCTTCTACAGGCGTAGATAATGCAATGACAGAGTCAACAAAAATCAAAAAATTAAAAACTCAAAAAAACTGAAACCTCCTCAAATTAAAGTGACATCATACTTTTAAAAAAGCGGACCTATTTTTACACCAGAACAAACGTCAAATGAGTAATTGTTCACAAAATTGACAATAAGGAGAAAACTATTCAAGATTATGGAGTCGCAGAAAGAAGTAGAAAATTAATTAACCAATAGTTGTATCTACTTAACAATCACCCCCCTCGTTCAGAGCACTTTTTGGATGCCCACGAGAATATTGAATTTACTTGGTTATTCAGTTTCTATGTTGCGCCAAATATGGTTTTTTGTTAATCATACGTCGCGCCATATATGTTTCCATGGTATCCATACGTCGCGCCATGCATGATACCATAGTAACCATACGTCGCGCCATGCATGATACCATAGTAACCATACATTGCAAGCATCCATGGTGACATAAACTATCAACAGCCCTGGTAAAAGTATCACTATTGTCTAATTTGAAGTCCCCATGATAATAAAAATGTGCAACCATACGTCGCGCCATGCATGGAAAATGTGTTATTTTAACATAAAAAAACGTCGGCAATATTTCATGGCTTCCATGGAACCATGCATGGTGCGACGTATGGTTGCACATTTTGGTCAACCCGGGGAGGGAAACTGTTTACTAGATCCAAGTGTTCGGTTTATCTACAAACAGCGAGATAAATTAAGAATACAGACTAAAAAATGGTGCGCAGCTTTTGTTTTTATATTCGAATTGATTGAAATTGCTTTCGGTTCTGTTTGTTATATGCAGATACATGTATCATTGAGACTTTCCGCTTAATTTCAGATGCTTAAAGCTTCACAGCCACGTAAAAAACGGTGCATTTGCTGTGTTAATAATACTTCTCACATTAAACATATGTTACTTTTTTCATTTTCTAAACAAGCGTCATCATTTTGCATTAAATTGTTCAAAACGCAAAAAAAATTCACATTGTTGATCAAGTATACATAATATTACTGCTGTCTCTGATTCGTAAAGGCATTACATGCAAAAAAAAACCATTATTAATCATAGTTAGCAAAAAAATTGACGCAAGAAAGGATACAATCTAGCTTGAACTATTTTACTAGTAGCTGTTCACGTAATCAATTTGCAGTCTATTTCTTTACTTTATGTAACCTGCCATCGCTTTAATTGAACCAAAGAAGTGAAAAAGCCGGAATTATGGTAAGAAATATTTTGCAAAAGCCTGAATGATTGTAAAAAGAAAAACAGCGCTTGTTTATCAGCATAGATATATTTCAGTATTCGGACTGCCTTTGAATTGGTCTGACTTTTTTGTTGAATAAGTTTTAGATAAGTCACTAATAACGTTACGAGGCTAATCTGTCCACTGGATAGGCGCACAATTTAGATTGTGTAAGTCTCTGGAATTCCGAGACAAGTCCTTTAAACATTTGAATTTTTTGTCGAAATGACCAAAAGAAAACGAAAGAACAAAGGAAGGTCAAAGAGAGCATCATTTTGCTGACTCCGCTTACAATTAGCAAAATACACACAGCTTGGCCTCGTAATGAAAAAATTTTGGCTGCCAAAAGCAAATACTAACCCTTAAGTCGGTATAAGTAAACTTTTATGACTAATTAGCTTACCTCAATTTAATTTGGAACACTTTTAACTGCGGGATAAATCCCAGGGTTGACCTCCATAATTCAAAAATGCTTATCTTACAATCCCATGCACCGGAAATGCTTGTCATACAATTCCATACATCAAATGTAAGGAAAATGCTGTTCATACAATTTTCATAAAATTTGAAAAAATTATTTAAAAAAGATTCGAATTAGTTGTTGCGGCTATTTGAATCAAATAAAACAGTCTGCTGATGAAGAAAAAAAATTATGTTTCTTTTTGCGGAAAAAAATGGTTTTCATACAGTTTCCATATATCATAATTATATGACTAGCATTTTTTTGATGGCGATAACAAAAGTTATTTCCAAGTAATATTTAAATTGCCCCAAATTTTTTTTCAAACGCAAATTGAATTTTGTACTCAAACAAACATTTTCCAAAAAGAAAGGATGCATGCAAGTTTTAAAATTTTGTCTGCATAAACTAAACCTGGATACACAAAAAAATGGATTTATTCTAGTTTCTCTGGATACCTTTTTTCAAAAAGGCTAAAAACTCTTATTTCTTTTGTATGGCATGTTAGTATATACCTTGATCAATGTCTGATAATTTGAAAATTCTAATTTAAAAAAAAAATCATTTTTGAAAAAATTTGCCAAAATTAAAAGTTTGAAGCTTTCAGTAATTGATTTGGGAAGAGAACTCCTACACAATTCAGGTCGTTTACAATGCATTAAATTATCCCAGACGATCAACCCTTTGGTGACTCTTGTTTTGAGTAAACCATGGTTTTAGTCACTGGTGTTTGGTCATGAACACATCCCAAAAATTTTGAGAAATAGAACGATTAAAAACTTAACTTTATGGACTATGAGAAAAACTTTATCTTGGAGTTTACTTAACATTTATGTTTCCATGGAATTGTACGAAATGTATGACAAGCATTTTTTCATATATGAAAATTATATGATACGCCTTTTTGGTCAACCCGGGAGATAAGTGTAAACACACCACTGCGGAACGCGATGGTACAGGGGTTGATCCACATGCTGTCAAATCGTTTTTTTTAACGATTGAAAAACCAGCATATATAATTCTCACGTTCTTCGAAGCTCTGAAAAAATCCAGAAAGACAATTAGCGATATATTTTACAGCTTTCGAAGAAAATGACGGTTTGGTGCTCTGGTTTTTTTGTTTTCATACAGGTGGAGTTTGATTTTGCAACAAGAGTTTTTTAATCACAAAAAATTTTGGTCATCTGGAAAGTGTTGATGCCCTGAGCTGAAACTGGAAAAGTTATTTCTCATTGAATCATTTTTTGTTCAGTTTGTTTTTGAAAAGCCAGTTAGCATTGACCTTATTATATAACGCGTTAGCGGTGAAATAATTGTTCCGACATTCAAAGCTAGTGCGGAATATTTATGCTTGGTGTTGTTTTTTTTTATTCAGTCAATTTTTGTCATGTTTGACAATTTTTTTTATACCTTATGAGAAATATTGTTATCCTAAGCTCAAATTTAAAAATATATTTTACTTGTGATCTTTTTTTCGCAAAGTTAAAGGCATTTACAAATTGCTAACTTGGCCAACTTGGGTGAATAAAAAGCGATAAATTGCGTACTTATAACGCGCGTAAGAAGCGATTTAGGGGCAATTTTGAGCTTTTTTTTGTTCAATTAAATTGTCATCTATTCAATCAAACGAAAACGTTTAAGATGGTTTAAAATGCAGACGGAACATTCAAGGCTTTGCCCTGTCATACGAGCAGTCTTGTTAGGTTTAAAAACTGATCCAACTGAAATTGAGGCACGCTAGTTCGTGTCTGTTCAAAACAGTCCCATTCAAAACATTGCAAAACAAAGCAGTCCGGAAAAATATGACAATGAACGAAAAAACAGTCCAATACACAACGTTTCAAAAAACAAGAAACGATTGCTTTCTAAAGCCGGTAGTCCGAGAATTGTCCTTTGTTCAAACAACATAAACAATAAAACAATGTACTCTTGTTGCGGGCTCTATAAGAAACAGGCGACTTCAAACCAAACTGCTTTTGTATCGGACTGTATTCCCCTTCCCTTTTGTGAGTTTCAGGGCTGTTTTATATGAGACTGTTTTGTATAAGCACCGGTTATATTTAGTCTATTTACTATATTGATGAAATCCAAACTGTTTTGCTTCTTAATGAAACTCGTGGTGAATGATAAAAAAAATTTCTTCAAAAAAACTTTTTCAAATGGAAAACAATTTCATAAAAACAAAAAAATGTCCTAAACTGATACAAGCAGTCGTGTTTATTAAATATAGAGAGTGGCAAAAACTTGGAACATGCAGAAATATTTAGAAAGTGCAAATGACCTATTTTAGAAAGTTTTTGAACGCAAAAGTTAATTTTTCAGACGTGCAAAAATGCTCAAAATTAGAAAATTGCGCGTTTTAATTATTTCCAGTTCCACTTTTTTGCTACTTATTCCAGTTTTTTGTCTGTTCCAGTTTTTTGCAAATTATTAAACATATATTTTTTGAAATGACCCGCGTCGATGTCTGCGGCATGAGAAAAGCTTTTGAAACTCTTACCGACTATTCTTTTTAGATCAAAATTTACAGACAAGTCACGGCTGTAATATCGCTCAGAAAAATTTTACCATCGACAATCCAAAATTTATCTTAATCAGGCGGAGGCCTTAATGGGCCTTAATTGCGCCGGAAAATTTTAAATTTAGAAGCTTCGAAGTCTTAACTTATATCAGTCGCGGTTGAAAGTTTTTTAGGTTGCACAAAGCGTAAAATAGTCGCATTTTTTCGATAGGGGTTGAATTTAGTTGTGGGAAAATCTCAAATATAGGGAACAAATATAGGGAAACTGTTGATAAGAATCACAAAACTTGGCGCTAGGACAATTTATTTCAGAGGCAATAACTATAAATATTTTCGTTAGGCTTATTATGTTTGGAGTCATGAAAATAATCCAGATTTTAGAGATAAATTCAACATAACCTTGACGGAAAAATCTCATGAAAATTATAAAAATACTTTAAAATTAAAATTTTCCATAGATTCCTTGTTTTAAATGGTGATTTATAAACCAGCCGAAGAATCAACCAGGCAAAGTTAGATAAGTGTTATGTAATACTTACATAACTTTTATTTAACAGTTACGAAAGTTATCGAAAAACATTCATATGATGTTAACTTTTTGGCTGGCTTATATTCTCCGGGAGTTTTCGGTTGGCTTATTTTTACTGGCTTACTTTCTCTCGTTTAGTATTTCAAATATTAGTGTTAATTGGAATTGTTTAATAAGTTTTTTCAATGGGTACTAAAATAGGGTACTAAGGGTACTAAAATGTTTTGCAGCAAGGTAAAAAAGATGTTCTGTCTTCCTCAGAAAAAAAATCTCAGGCACGCGGTTCTTAAAATACATGTATATAAAACAGTCATTCAATAAAACATATATCACTTTGTACAGTTTTTGTCTATATTGCCCCAGGAATCGGTTCAAATTTTCAATAGCGACTATCTGTGACCTGCCGAATCCGTGGGATATCCATTTTTGGCTGACAGACCCAAAAAAAATTTTAAAGGCGCCTTTGGCGCAAATATCTACTAACCTTCAGAGCGGAGTGCGGGCTGAAAAAACACAATTTTTTTGTCAAAGTTTCCAAGAAATGCCTAAAAAAGCTTTTTTTTTGGGTCCTTTTTTCAAATTTTTGCCTGCAGCCCAAAGAATTGGGCCAAACTAGGTTTTTTTTTAGTAATTTGGGAGAGCTCGGAAAATCAAATTGGTCGACCTAAAAAAAGGTCGACAAATTTTTCAAAACTTTTTTGAAAATTGCCCCACCCCCCCTAAAGAAAATCCTTGATCGCCCCTGTCTGTGACAATCTTATTTCCTCTAGTTTTTTGAAAAGATAAAAAATATTATTTTTAGTTGATCGATGACAACGAAAACCTATCGAGAGAGCTCAATAACACTTAAACCGATACGCAATAGCAATCCTTGTTTCACGAATTTGTGAAATTAAGATTGTGATTTGACACCTGGGCCCTCTCCGGCACTTGGATCATTTTTCAGGCCATAATTTGATTTGAATTTAAAAATTTCTACCAATCTAAGCTGAACTATTTGAGCAAAAGCTCCTAACAAGGTGCTTTTACGTGTGAAGATGGAAATTTAATCTATAATACTCACCCTTGGAAAAAAGTGATTGTTGTTAAAAAACCTTTTTTTCCTTTTGGCAGAATGAAGGAAGTGCCATCGCTGGCTATCAAGAAGAAGGGCCACCGCAGTACCAGGCTGATGGAGGTATGTTTTCCCTCTTTAATTTTTATTGTATGTCGCTGTTGTTTTTTGTGCGCCTTGTGTGGGAAGTTAGTGTTCTTGGAAAAATAGTTGGGCTTCAGTTTACACACTAATTAGCAGTTTCTCTAGCTTTATCTGATAAAATTTTCATTGAAAAAATTTTTAGAACGAAAAGTTTGTTTGCCGGTTTTTCTCAACTACCCTTTTCGAAGTTTTTCGAAGCTTGTTTAATGAAGATCAAATCAAAAACGAAGAGGTTGTAATTTGACAACCATTTAATATCATTTGACTTTTTTTGCGACACCTGACTTTACGTGGAAGGAAGCTTGAAAAAAATAAACACATCCAAAAATGAGTTGAATTTTCTTAAATAAAATTCGTTTGTTAAAAAAAATGGAATACAGGCAGATTGGCTAGTCCAATTATATTTGGTGGAAGTTTAATTAGTTTTATAAAACCACTCGGTACCACATAACATTGATGTTTATGGGGGTTAAAGGGCAAGGGTAGCCAATTTTTCACTGAATTTTTAACTCTCATGTTTAACTTAACATGCGTGAATCAAAAGTTGGCCCGACTTTTTTTTCTTGTTGACAATGATGAAAAAACATTTGTTCAATCTTCCTGAATAACTTAAGATTCAAAAAAACTAATAACTAATTAAAACAAATAATTTTTAAAGATTGATTTAAGAAACAGCTTGAAAAAAACATCATAAGAATGTTTGAAGATTGATATACAATCGAAGAAATATATCGGTAAACAGGATTTATGAATAAATCAGATGAAATTATGAATTTACTGTCGCGTAATCACCTCTCTTGAACATCAATTCAACGGTGTAACGAGTGATTTTAGAAAGTTGAAGATCAAACCAAAATTGTTTGTCATTGACTAATCAATCCGCATGCCCACATTTGTTTCAATACAAGAAAATGAAGAAAAAAATGACTTGCCGTTAAAAAAAATTGCCGGTAGGCAGGGGAGGATTTAGGGGGGTGGCGGACGCCCCTTCCCCACAGCGATTCGACCCCTTGCCGACCATAAGGGTCCCCCTTCGAACTACTTTGAAATATCCGTTTTTGGCTGACGAACCCTAAATTTTTTCTAAAGGCGCCTTTGGCACCAAAATATAGTAATTATGAGAGGGAAGCGCGCGCCGAAAAAACGCAATATTTTGGTTAAAGTTTTCCAAAAACACCTTTTTGGTCTGTTTTTTTCAAAAGAAGGTCAACAAAATTTCAAAAAATTTTGAAAATCCGCCCCTCCCCCCTCGATAAAATCCTAGATCCGCCCCTCCCGGTAGGCTGCGAAGAAAAAGAGCCCTATTATAATTATGGTGCTTTTAGGTACTGATGCACCTCCGTCTTACAACTCAATTTTTGGGGAGCTGAAGGCGGCCAAGGCAGAGTCGGGCGATGACAAGGTATCATTCGTCAAGAAAGTAATCGGAATTCTTATGGGTTCAAGTAAGTATTCAACTTAATTTAACCCGGAGGGTATGGCTTTTTTCAGGTTTCCATTTAAGTTAGCCAGCTAAATTACTATACAAATTGCTCTAAAAATATTCACACCTCGCAATTTGCTTGTAACTATAAGAAGTTTCACTGACTCTCAATAACGTGTTGAAAAACAGTTAGAAATGAAAGAAAAGTTTGCTCGCAAGCATTTAAGACCAATAGTATTCTTCTTTCTTTCTTTGCGCACTGCCAATGATGCGTTAAGGTTGATTTTACAAAAAAAATGTAGGATTTAGATCGATTTTGGATTGACAAAAATGTAGATTAAATTTAAAAAAATTAATTTTAATTTCAATGAATTCAAAATTAATTTAGATTGATCTTAAATCCAAGCTATTACTTTTGATCTAAACGAATTTTATTATATTTAAATCTATTTTTTCAGTCTTCATTTGTCTTTGATTTCAGGGTGATTAAATTAAACTTATATCGATTTGAAGAAATTTCGTTGTTATTGGATATTTGTTTCGAGCTTACATTGCATTTATAGTTTAATCGCTCATCATTTTCCATTTCCTATCCACGCTACAAAAGTATCATAGCGTCTGGCAACCTAATAAGAAGAACTTAACTTTTTGTTTTCATTCCCTCTTTTTTTAGCTCAATATCAGGTTTCTATTGACCATTTCTCAAATTTTTTATACAGGTTTTTCTTCAAAATCTGTTTTAAAATGATAGTTTTTACAAAATTATTGCTTAATTGTCATCTCAAAACATGCATAAATTTGGCCATCTTCTTGAATTGTTGTATAAATTTTTGCTCAAAATCTCGTGTATTTTGATGATTTTTCTATGGTTTCAAAGCATATTTCGGATCACAAAACGTAAGTGTTATTAACCTTTTTCCTGATTTGCTTCTTAGGTTTTGCTCAAAACTGGTTTTAAAATGATAATTTCTACTATTTCATTGCATATTTTTGATCTCCAAATCTGATTAACACCGACCATTTTCTCGATTTGTTACATAGGTTTTTGCTGAAAATCTGATAACAGTATGATTGTTATTATTTTTTTGATCAAAATTTGATTTTTATTGACGTTTTTTAAATCTCAATAAAATCGCGCAAACTTTCTGCTATTATTAAATTTTGAGGAAAAAAACTTTTTTAAAGCATATTTCTTTGCAGTTTTAGCAAAAGTTTTGTCTGATAATGATTTGAAATGGACTTTTTGACACTAAAACTGATCTCTTCAGGTGTATTTTAAAATGAATTAAAATGGATTTACCATAATCGGATGGATTTAAGAAGGATTTGGTTGGGTTTCAATGAATAAGAAAATCCACTGGAATGAATTTAAATCTATTTTTAGACAGTTGAACTGATCTCAAAATTTAAATATAATATCGATTTTTATTTTTTCATTTCCTAAAATATTTTTTCATATTCTTTTTCATTTCCTAAAATATACATTCGCACTTTCCGAATACCAAATTAAATTATTCAGAAACAGTTTTCTCAGCGGATATGTCCATTTTCAAATAGCTTCGAACGGCTCTATTATAAAATACGCAATTTTTTTCATTGCGTATTCACTTTCTTGCCAATTCTCCTTTTTCATATTGCTTTCATTTTTGATGGTTATATTGATATATGATACCTTTTCAAAGTTTCGGTCTGCATAGATCAATGACTAAACGCTCTCAAAATGTTCCATGATTATAAAACCGAACAATTAAAATGAAAGTTACTATAATCTCTGTTTCATTTTTCTGGAAATTTCAATAGCATCATTTTTTGTTTCTTTCCATTCTGGCCACGCCAGTCTATTTGCAAACTCTTATCACCTCATAAGTTTTTTCTAAAACTATGTTGCACACTGACAAAAATGTTTTGAGGCTGATTTAAACTGATTTGATTTTATCTAAGTCAATTAACCATGTGCATTCCAGGAGCTGGAATGGATTTCAAATCGAATTAAATCAAAATTTCTTGAATATTTTGGATCAATTTAAAAGAATGAGATGCGTTTTGAATATTTTATAATACTATTCGTTAATATCCAATCAAAACTCCACTTTAGATCATCCGAATCTTGCTAAGATGTATTTAAATCCAATTCAAGAACAGGATTTTGAGATTGAGCGCCTGAAATCATCTGAATTAGAAGCAGTTTTTAAAAAATTTTCTATATTCATTGAAATAGTTAATAAAACGAAGTTTTAGAATTTAAAGGCAAGTTCATTAAATTTACATTCATCCATAAATCTTAAAATTAATGGAAATTAGAAGACTATGGACTATGGGCCGAATTTAGAAGAATATGGGCCGAGCTGGAAAGGACGGAGTACAGTCATGATTTAAATTATCCGAACAAAACATTCAAAATTCAAACTTAAACTTTAAAACGTTTCTCAAATTGGGTTAGAGTTTGACAAAGCGTGAAGAAATAGTTTCAAATAACATCAGAATTCTCGTGATAAAACTTTTTTGAAAAAGTGGAACCAAAAAATTTACCCCAAAACTGGGTCACTTGGGCTTTTCTTAATCGACAATTACGCTAAGATTACCAAGTTATTTGAAAATAAAATTTTATCATAAGGAGCCTTTTACTCAATCTAACAACGTTCTAGAGGCTAAAATCTCCGCAAATCTGTATAAAGGAATACATTTTTGCTTGATAGCGAAATAAGGTCAATTTTACTAAACAAAACTCAAATTGTTCGCTGAAAAACAAATTTTAAACGTTTTGCCCAATATTTTGGAGATGTTACGTTTCCTGGAGCGTTTTTAGGCTGAGATTTCTAGCTCCTTTTGATTTAACTTTCTTGTCAATTAATGGGTTGACCTTAGCGTAATTCTCGATTAAGTAAGAAACAGCCAAAGTAACTTGTTTTTCGGTTAGAAATTTGGTTCCCAATACCGCAAAATAAACTTCACATTAGTTCTGGTGAAATTATAAGCAACTTTTGTTCTCTTCTGTTTTTGTTTAATCTAAACCCAGTTTGAGGAAAACGTATTTGAATCTTCAATTTTTGTTCATTTTTTACTGATAATTCAAAACAGCATTGTATATCCAAAATAACCAATGAAAATGTTTGGTTTGTTTCAGTTGTGTTCACGGTGGTGCTGGTGCTGTTGCTGGCCGTCCCAATAACCATGATTGTCATAGGTAAGGTCACACAAAAAGCTATTTCTCACTGTGACCCGAATGTGGACTTTGGTGAAAGCAGATTGAAACTTTCCCTACATTAGAGGCCAAATTTGATACTATTTTCAGACACCATTTAAAGAAAACTTGAAATCCTTTTCCAAATGTTCTTTTATATAGTATAAAGATTACGGCGGTATAAAAACCAGCCGAAGTTTCAACTAGCCGAAAAGATGTCAGTGTTATATAATTGTAATGTAACAGTTATGTAACAGTTACAAAAATTATGGAAAATTCATTTATATGATGTAACTTTTCGACTGGTTTATATACTCCGCGCATATTCAGTTAGTTTATACTTTGGCTGGTTTATTTACTCTCATAGATTAATGATCAGAGGGAGAAAAAAAACAATTTTTTTGCGCAAACTATTTTTAGGCTCTCTTAGTGTGTTCGAGTCCTCTTTCTGGAAATTTCAAATTTGATTCTTTTTTAGGTTAAAATAGTTAAGAGAAAAACAGTTCAAAAGATTTGCTGTTCAAAGATTTGCTATTTTTGAATTTCCCTATTGCAGCATCACAGCATAAGCAAAAATAACACATCCAATGACAATGAAAAATCGAGGGAAGCGCAGTGAAAAAAAACGCATAAAAAATCAAACACCAAAATTTTTTCTTAAAAATTCAAAAACTTGCCGTCAAAAAATGTGACAAAATTTCGGAAAATCTGACAAGCAGCAATCATACGCCTGACAAAAATTTTCATCAACACTTTGTTGATAGGCTACCGCTTCAGTTCTCTGTGAAAAACCCTGCGCCCCAATTTATAGCTCAGCGCTTCTTTGGATTATTTCTTCATCGGGGTAATGTTTTTTTTTGACTAATACCAATTGTCGCTTGTTAAAAATTGTCGCCTCATGTCAGTTTTCGCCAGATTTCAACTTCAAGAAAGACCGTATTTTTTTTTCAAATCTGGTAACAAGCTTCACTCTCTGATAACTAAAGTGAACCAGTAGCTCCAAGTCGATGTTTGAAGTCTGGATTCAAATTTATGAAAATTTCGGAGATAGAAAAAGCAGAACCTTAAAGTGACATGCGGTTTCTTTTGATCAGCTTCGAGTACTTTCAAACAAACGAAAAACCATTAAAGCAATCCAAAAATTATAACGCTGCTCATGATCTGAACAGGGCAATTTTTAAATAAAAACTAAGATCTTATCTAAAACTTATCTTCAAACAAAAAAGTCAAAACTTGAACAAATGCATCTGGCACAACTAAATTGGCAGAAGAAAACAAAGTTCTTCAAAATTGGTTTCATGCAAGAGTTTAAAAAAATGAGCGAACTACTAAGCAAATAATAGTTTTTTATTATAATACCGCAATATATTTTTTTTTCGATGAATTAATCATAAAAACAAATAAATTTAGACCTGTTTGAGTTTTTTGGGTTTTGTTCGAAAAGCATTTATGTTTTAATCTAAATGTCTTACACCTGACTTTGCCCTTAGGAGCAATTAAACTTGACGACTGTCCCGTTGAGAAGTTCATCCCGAAGTGGCTCCTGATTAGCGGGTGTTTCGGTCTTCTCAAGAATCTTCTCTCATTAGTCCAGCAGGTTCTTCTTCAAGTTTTGTTTACTTTTGGTATGCGAGCCTGTGTTATTTGATAAACAATTGAAACTCATTAAAAATATTGTTCATTTTAAAAATTAATTCGCAAAGTTTCTCCAGAAAATCCAAAAATCAAGCCGATTTTGATTATTTAATAATTGAAATTACTTTACAGACTTTTAATTTTAAAACTTTCAAAACGCCAAAATCAAGCCTATTTTGTTTTTAAATTAACAATTGGAACTACTTAATCACTTTTTTAAAATAAAAAGTTCACTATTCAAGTTGTCTCACTACTTAAATATGCTTTTTTGGAAAAAGTATCACGTTTTGAGTTTTCTCAAAAAGTCCGAAATCGATAACTGTGTTTTAGCTGTACAACAAAATGAAAGACCAAAAGGACAAGAATGCGAGCAAAAACCCACTTGAGGGGATTTTGGATCTCTTTCTCTTCGCATGGTTCATTGCAGGTCACATTTTAACAATCTAGATTAATTCTTCTAAAAAGTATTACTTAATCATTTTTAAGATTTTAAAGAATTTGTTTGAGTAGCTTTACGCATTTTTGAATCTTTTAAAACATCAGCTGGAGAAACCCGTCACTTTTATATCAAATAGCTCTATGGTTTCTACATAAAAGCGGCCCACTTTGTAATTTTATTTATCAAATAGACTATTAAAGTACATAATAACGAATAATGTCAGCACCCAAATCAGAATTAGGTGTTTGTAGCAGGTTTTTTGAAAAAAGCTGAAGTTAGAATTTTGGGGCTACACCAAACCGCGCCGTTTCCTCAGCCTCCCCCCCCTCCCCTCAAAGTTAGAAGTGCCCAAGTACCTACTACTGACGTTTGTGTTTCAGGAAGTGTCTGGGTGTTCCGAACATATGGTGATGTGTCATATAAAGAAAGTTCCGAGCACTATTGCGACCGTCTGGTGTTTTTGTTTTCGTTCTGGACGCTAATGGTCACTTATATATGCATGGCCATCGGCTGTTGCTGCTGCTGTTGCATATGCATTGTCGCTGTGTCACTAGGTTTGGTCCGAGCTGCTGATTCTTAAAATTACCCAGACAGAGATACCAAACTGTAAATAAGTTTTCTATTTTGGACCAGAAAATATTTTCACGGAAGAACAGTTGACTATTCAAGACTTGAATTATTTACTTAAATTTTCTAACATTCTAACTCCAAATGTCTGAATTTGCTCACATCAATTTATATTTAGAAATAAAATTTATTAATTGAAAAGTCTGAATGGAAAATTAAATTTGCTTATGAGAGTAATTACGACCATAGCGCCGTGATGAAACAACGCCCATTGTGCATCCAAAAATGATTTCCGTTTAAAGGCAGTAAGCAATCTAGGCAGTAGACAAACAAACAAACAAACAAACAAATAATTGTTTAACTAAAAACGAACGGATCTTGAGTAAATTTAAAACGTTCAATTGGGTTTCAAGTGATTGAAAATTAATACTCCTCGAAAATCAGACCTTATTAAATTTGCAAGACGCAGTTTGAAGTGTGTTAAGATACTCATAGTATTTGTTCAGACTTCACAACAAAACCCTTTACTTTTATTTTCTATGACAAGTGTTTTTCCATTAACTTTTTTGTGTTTGTCTTTTTATTTATTTGTGTTTCGCACTAAAATACAAAAACCAAAAATTTTTTCACAAGAGAACACAACCGGTTGAATAGCATTGAAAGTGCAGATTAAGCTGTGCATTAAAAGATGCCACGTAAATTGAACAAAAGAATTGTGTACAAAGTTGGAACAAAAGTACACAAAATTTTTCTACCTCTAAATTGAACAATTGACATGTGGAAAATTGTGACCTGTTTTTTGCACATGCCTATGCTATATGTAAAAACTGAAAAAATATTATCTGCAACAGAAAAATTCAACCTGTCCCATCACATATATTTATCATTTTGATTCTTAAAAAAGACAACATTGACTATGTTATATGCAAAAAATTAAAATTTGGCTAGCAAAAAAAAACATGAAAGTTATGAAGAAAATCAACAATTTGTGTTTCTGTTTTCGTTCTGGACACCAATAGTCACATATGCATAGCCACCGGTGGTCTTTGCTGCTTTCACACATGTTTTTGTCGCAGTGCCACTGTCTGTGGTCCTAGCTGAGGCTTCTTAAAAGTACTGAGAAACAGATTTTAAAAATGTCAAAAAAGCTTCTATTTTAGACATGAAAATGTTTTCATTTTAGAACAGTCGACAACTCAACTTAAATTATTTACTGCAACTTTTTCACTTCAAACACATAAAATTGGCCAGATATTTTGATAAATTGAATTGAAATAGGCTTTATAAAAAGTCAGTAAAATACGTTTGTTTATGAGATCACTTACGATGAAAGAGCCGTGATGAAACCGCACCGATCGCGTAAGGCATTTAAAAATGATTTCCGGTTGAAGCAAATAAAAATGATTTTTATCGAACCAGTTCTAAATAAGTTTTTAAATCCAATTATGTTATTGACAAAACTATCTCGATATAACATTACTAACTAGACAATCATATTCCATATCTAACATTGACACTTATTACAAGTTTTTTCAGCACCAGAACAATTTGAATAAATTTTAGCCTACAGATGTTCTCCTTCTGGATAAACTCCGAGAACTAACTCGCAAAAACCATTATATGCCAGATCTGTTGAGACTAGGAGATATAAGAGCAAGATTGAAATTGTTATTAGACCAAGAAGTTGCACGACTCTATCCGGCTGAAAATAAGACAGCGTGACGAACAGATGTGTACCTCATCTGGTGCGATCATTAGTCTCGAACAAGACCTTAACTAACTTAGAATTTGACAAGTAAACTTAGAATTCGACGATTGCAAAATCGCAAAAATGTTAGTTGAAATAGACAATTTAATAGAAATGTCTCTACGTCTCAAAACACCTACGCCAATTTTTCAAACAATATGAAAAATACCATGAATTGCAACAAGACGAAGATCCAGGCGTGAACAACGATCAGGAAACGGACCTATCTACTACATGATAGTACAACGAAAACCGGAACAAGGTTTTGTATTTAGAATACTGTATGCAGCAAGTTTAGATGTTCCTTTAAAGACATGAAAATAAAGAAAACTTTTTCACCAACTCAATTGGTGCTGAATCTAATATTTAAACGAAACGACTGATAAAAAACACAAGAGTTTCATCCAAAAATCTGCAGGAAATCAAAACATTTGAATAAATAATTTTTTGAATAAAAACTATAAAACTTAGTTGGCAAAAAATTCATAGTTAGTTTGATTAATTCAAACACATCATCTTCTCTTCATCCCAGCTTCATCACTTGAAACCTAACAACATAAATTCAAAAAACTAATATCATTTAAACTTTAACTTCAATTTTTTTGAAACTTAAATTTTACATTAAAACTTATCAAGGCTTGTCCTCGCTTTCCAATACTTTAAATTTCTTTCATGAACAGATCATCAAGGCTTCGCTTGGATCTTTAATTTCACTTAAAATTATTTTTATTTTACGTAATTTCTGTTTATCATCTCTTCTCTTGGACCAAATCAGAACAATTTTTTTCTCCCCACGCCACAGTTTTAAAGTGACTAACGACCTCAAACGTCGATTCACTCGCCAAACCCTATAAACGACCTAGGTCTACTAGATACTTTTGGAAACTAACTATTTTGTTTGAGATAGTTAGAGAAGAACTTCTGACCCAGGCTAAAAAACTTTTAAAAAATTGTAAGTCATAAAATAGTATTTAACGATCTACCTGTGTTCTGTTTATACCTGAATCTTGTGAATTGATTTATAGGTCTCCAACACTGGATCACAAATAACCATTCCTAGGTAAGATTAAGTAAGTCCATCATATATTAAAACGAGAGAAAGTAAAAAAATATTTTCACGAAAAGATATACTCTCTCTCCAACCCATCAATCACGACAATCTCTGACCCAAGTTGGGATAACCACAAAAAAATTGTAAGTAATAAAAGTTTAGAAAAATCGAAACTCGAGCTCCCGAGTGATAGCAGCCATCGTCCTAAGCGTTTCGTCAAGAGACAATCTAGGCAATAAACAAAGAAACAAACAAAAAATTGTTTAACTAAAAACGAACGATACGATCTTGTAATCACAGCGCACAAAGATACAAAAGGATGTATTTGATCAAAAAGACAAGCACAAAAAGAGACGATAATAAAAAAAAAATTAGCAGAAAAAGATTGTCAAAAAGACGAAACGCAGTTTCAGAATCAGATACACACACAATACAGGAACTTCAAGACGTAAAGTATTCAATAAAGAAGAGTAACCCTATAGAAAATCAAAATTATTTTTTGACTCAGAAGCTATATCACCATTATCAATTAAAGGAAAAATTAGAATAAAGAAAAGATACATTAACAAACCATTACGCTATATAATGGGAGTCAACCTATAAGACATACTGAAAGATTATATTAACAGTTTTAAGATACAAAAAATAATCGAATACAACGAACAATTTGACAATAATTTGATACTTCTATCTTTTATACAACCACAAAGTGATCCCGCCCGAGGACAAGTCCAATTTTGTCACAACCTAATTGTACTTTTAGTGGAAAAAAGAAATAGCCCATGTAAACAAAAATTTCCTGAAATAATAATAAAACGACAAATTCATGATCACTAACTTAAAAATTTATGTATTATCACATCAAATTACAAAATATTTACAATTGAAATCTTATCACTAAAATCAAACCACCCTACACATCAAATACAAATAGACGATATAGATTCAGATTTTTCAAAAGTGTTCACAGAAAATATACAAGACGAAAATCACGAGGAGCAACTTCAATATTCACAAAGTTTGTTTTTCAATTATTTATTGCTAGATACTTCACATATCTAGATAATTGCAAGAAGCACAAATTGAGTCACCGCCTCAGAAATCTGGACACTCAGCTTTAAGACAGGAAATCTATTTTTTCTCAAGATAATTTGATGCAATCCGTGAAAACCTTAGTAGCAAAGAAATTTCACAAAAATGTCAAACTCGATCTACAAAAAATGCTAGCATTGGTTATTTTGTCCATAAGATCGACATCAAAGCACAATCAAGAAAAGTTTTCGACCGCAAAGCTCAGACGATGAAACAGTATTAGCAGATGAAAAAGACTTTGTTTGGGACCCTGATTGATCTCATCCAACATTCGTCAATATAACAAATGATTTTTCAAGCGCAGCAATTACAATTATCCCCGTAAAAAGAGAAGAAGTAAAAAAAAACTCCAATCACTATCGATTCAACACTTTTAAACTATAATTTATGTTCGCTGTTAGAACAAGAAATAATAATTTAAACTCCACGTTCATTAATACACAAGAAAAATTAAATGGAACAAGAAATCTTACACATCAAGATAGTCAACTCGTAATTAAGAAATAGTTGAGACATTGCCAATAGCAACAAAACAAAAAAATTTTCCTATTCATCCTACACTTACAACACCATAAAATAAAAAACCACGTTTCCACAAACAACCATACAATGAACAGTGAAATCTTCTGATAATCCAAAATACTCAAAAAAGATTTTTCAAACATTTAGACCAGCAGCGACATCACGACAAACAAATGAACAAAAAATACTTAAGAGAAACAATCTTTCAGATCAAAGCTACAGGTTTTTTGCAAAGAAGAAAACAGCCAAATCCCCCTAAATGAACAATCAAAACCAACGAGAGGCACAAAACTTCAATCAACAAGTACCACAACAAGCCTCTTACTCAGTTTTTTCAATGATCAACAACGAGCTACGTGAACAACGTGAAATTTTTCAGTTTTTTTCAACAAAAAAATATAACTAATAAACATATTGCGAGAATTCAACCACAATATTCAGAAGATGAAGACTACTTTAGTCAAAACCAACAACGATTCAACACCAATCAACAAAGGTTTATCTGGAATATTGATCAACCAGATCTTTTTGAACTATATACATGAAATGAACTAACACGACAATCAAGACAAATTTTTCCTCCAAGACAAAACTCAGCACCATATAATAATAATTTTCAATCATAAAAACCTATACACAAAGTTATCAATCAACGCAGAAGCAAAATGAAATTCTAT